AAGATGCTGGCCTGTCCCATATCTCAGTGCTGGTTGGAGTCGTGGCTTTCTATCCTATACCAGTTCCACGATAAGATGGCTACAAAAATAGCAGAAAATAGTTCAACTACTTGAGTCCCTGCCATTCATGTGAAAGACTCCTGGCTTTGGTCTGCCCCTAATGGGACTTTAGCAGCCATTGGGAAGTGAATGAGCTAATGGAAAATCTTTTTCTTTATGTGCCTCTCCACCCCTCTGTCACTTTGCCTTTCAAAGAAATAAAATAAATCTTAAAAAAAATATGGTAAAAAGATTAATGGCAACACAGATATGCAGGAATATTGTTCAGCCTCAAAAGAAAGTAAATCCTATCATTATTTTGTAATCATGAATAGACCTCAGAAATATGCTAATTCTGAGTGGGGGGACCTTTTTTCTGAAAAGGGGCATTTGAATATTAATAATAATACTTGGAAGCCAAACAAAATTATGGACACCAACATTCACCTGGAATAGATTTATTGAATTTTGAGTTCCACCTGCAGCTGCTTTGGCAGGGTTAAACCAAGTGATCTTGCAGACCAGAACTCCCACTCCCTCAGTTAAGTGGGTTAGACAAAGGAGAAATATTGCATGATCCTACTTATGTGTGCAATCTAAAATAATCAAACTCAGAGAAGTAGAATAGATTGGTAGTTGCCAGGGGCTGGGCAGAGGGAAAAAAAAAGAGGAGGGAGGGGTGAGAGGACACAGTTTCTGTTATATAAGATAAACAAATTCTGGAGATCTGAAGTAGAACATTAAGCCTGTGATTAACAGCACTCATACTGTATCATATATTTAAAAATTTACTAAGAAGTTAGATGCTACATTAATTGTTCTTAACATAACAACAAATAAAAAAGTCAACTGAACAACAAGATTTTTTTTAGATGGTAGATACATATGTTTCATCAATTGCAGTAATAAATGTAATTTTAAGTATAAGTGATATATACTTATCTCCAAATCCATCAAGTTACGTGGACTGAATACTTAGCTTTTTATGTCAATCATATCCTAATAAAACCATTCTTCAAATGAATAAATCAAATAATTTACTGTGTATTTCACAACAAACTATTCACAAATATTCTAAAAAGTTCAAAATTTATAAAAATTTAATTATATACAAAATTTATATACATATAGTTTCACATTTAAAATAATGAGACAAGAGATTTTCAATGTAAAATTCTGTAGTCTGCAAAAGAAAGTGGCAAAAATTTTGGGGTATTGCCAAAACTATTCAGAACAAAGGGTCACCTGATCATTTAACATGCATGATTATTACAGTGTGTTCAGCACATAAATTCCTATACAAAAGATAGATTGTCTAGGCTCACATGGTAGATGATAAATCAGTTACTGATGTAGAATTGATTCTTTTGCATTTTATTTGTATTAAACAAGTAACGTTCTGATTAATTTGTAACTCAAAAGCTTCTTTCCAGCTTTCTAGAGAGTGGTAATTTTGCATGAATATTTGAATTATTCTAGAAGTGACATTACTTTTGGTGAGTGGTTAAATTGGTATTTTGATTTTTATATCAGCTTTTGATGAGATGTTAAAAATGAATCAATGCTCATTAATTTGATTAATTTTCAGTAAACTAGCATTTATTCTATACAACCCTAATTTTCTAAAAAGACAATGTGATTATTTTTCTAAATAGCAAAGGGTCTTATCATTGTGCATAAAATATATGTTTTAGGTCATCGATAGTAATGATTGAGCATTATTTTTAAAGATTTTATTTATTTATTTGAGAGGTAGAGTTATAGACTGTGAGAGGGAGAGACAGAGAGAAAGGTCTTTCTTCCTCCTGCTGGCTCACTCTGAAATGGCCACAATCACCAGAGCTGTGAAATCTGAAGCCAGGAGCCAGGAGCTTCTTCCTGGTCTCCCATGCAGGTGCAGGGGCCCAAGTACTTGGGCCATCTTCTACTGCTTTCCCAGGCCATAGCAGAGAGCTGTACTGGAAGAGGAGCAACCAGTACTAGAACCAGCGCCCACATGGGATACCGGCACCGCAGGCAGAATATTAACCTACTGCACCATGGTGCCGGCCCCAATGACTGAGCATATTAAAAAAGCTAACTAGATAAAGGCACATTTATCATTATACTGAAATCAATCTACCTTTCTGTACCTTAGGAAATATTTGTATATTTTGAGAGCATAATGGAAATATACCATTAAAGGTAGTTCCTATGATAGAAGACAAAAACTACTCAAAGAATCAGAAACCCTAATCTGAGTTTATAATCTTCAGCTTATTTGGTATGAGGGCTTGTAACCATCACTTAAGCACTCCGGGTTAGAATTACTTTCTCTTAAAAAAAAAAAAAAGAATTAAAGATAAGGAAGATAAATATGGTAAGTCCTATGCCTTATATAATGGAAAATGCAATCCTTTAGTGCAAGAAAGAAATAGTAAGAATCACAAAGGGAAAAGTTGAGATTTTGCCATATCGGAATGCAGGTTAGTTTTACATGAATGGGCTAGTCAGTCAGTCTTCATTCATAGAAATGTGTTTGTTTCAGAAACATATTTGTTTACTCACCCATTAAATCAGGACAATTATTCTAAGAAAAGTAAATTTTACAGATGAGCAATCAAAAATATCTAGATGTGTGAATCACTTTTAAGTTGCAGAAATTGAAACAAGCAAAATAAAAATCTATAAACAAAAAGCTCTAGCAAATAAGTCGTCAATATTAACTGAAAGAGTGCATCATAAACCATTCTTTAATTTCTGATTTGCCTAATTAAAGTTAGTCTGATAACCAATAAAATGTAGTGAGTTTATTCATTCACTAACTGAAAAAATATATTTTATATTTCTAATAGGATCACTGGTGCATCCAATAAATATTATCTACATACTAGGTGATAGATTAAATAGTGGTCAATGGAAAAGTCAAAGAAATAAGGAGTATGAAAATAGCAGATGATGGGCAATTTGAAGGTAAAAAGTCATGGTGTTGCTATGAATAATCAGTAATATGAAAGTTTCCCCCGTCCTCTCTTATGACTTTTACAGTTCAGGAAACTAATGGAATAAATATGTCATAGTGACTTCATAAAGTATAAAATATCAATGTGTTTATCTTAATTATAAGATAAAATAACTAAATTGATCCTGATTTTTAAGCGGTCACGTAATTTAATTATCCAGATAAAGGTACAGAGTTTGCACTATTAGCCATTATTACGCTCACTTAAAGAAACATAATTAGTTTTCTCCTTCTAGTCCCCCCTCCCCAATAAAGAATCCCAGAGGTCTTTTAATTCAATTCCTTCAATATATATTCTTTTAAGGTAGTTAAAAACTTTTTTTAGAAAGCTCAAAATTTTCAAAGATATCCATTTAGTTAGTGATTAAGCAAGGCAAGGAATCTGGATCTACTTGAAATATTGTAAAGTCTTGTTTTTTCTTTATATGATGAAAAAATGACCAACAAAAAGCATTTGTGCCTTTGAATATTCAAAAGAATATTCAAAAGAATATTCAAAAGATTCATTAAACAACTAAACTAATTAAAATGACACAAACCTTCCTAAGCTGCAGAAATTGATAGGTAGAATCAATCAAATTACTTAAGAGACTTCTGGGAGTTTATGATTCAAAACAGAAAATCAAGACATGAAAAGTGATGAGTGAAATAATATATGCAAAGAAACTGAGAAAACTCTTTATTTTCATGGAATGTGTGTAAGCTTATTTATCATAGCACTGACAGAAAGATTTCCACTGTGACCTCATTTGAGAGGGTTGTGGTGACTTACGTTTTTTCCAGTTAAATAGTGAATCATTAGAATTACTAATATATCAATCACTGTTTGAATTTAATCTATAAAAAGCTGTAGGAAATACTAAACAGACCCTCTTGATACGTAGCTTAGTCATTGGAAGAGTTAAAAGATGAAAGCAGCAGTTTCAGAGTAAATTTCTGAGGGAATCTGGGGAAAAGTGAAGATTCAAGGATTGAACACTTTGGTCCTGACTGATAGATAATAAAAGCCATTGGAAAGATATGTTTCAAGTTTTTTAGAAATTAAGATTCATGAAGTACACATACAGACCACACATACACATTATTTTCCTTCTCAGTCTCCCAGTCCGGAACTCCATTGTTAATGGCACCACGGGAGGGAGGGACAGTGAAGAAGAGGAAGATGAAGAGGTAGTGGAGGAAGAAAGAGAGAGAGAGAGAGAGAGAGAGAGAGAAACAGAAGATGTATCAAGTGATACTCTGTAACCTAGTTGTTCTTCTCACTTAAACTTATTGTTATTTAAAACGTGTAAGAAAAAAGTGTTGGAAAACATTGTATCTATAGCTGCTTTTACAAACATTGTTACTATTGATGGAGAGACAACTTAGCCCAGGCAATGCTTTCTGGTCAGAAGCTGGCTAGGATCATGAGAGGAGTCTAAAAGCAATTGAGTCTTCCATTCGCCTGATGCACCTTCATTCTCTTCCCTTCCCCAGCATTTTGCAAGGATTTGGGCTAGTGTTGACCTGCAATTCCGTGTCAGGTCTAAGAGACACGGTCACATCGGATAAGACCTTTCGTTACTAAGCTGTGCCTTTTCCCGACAGAGAAAATTGGAAGATCCCTCCCCGCGCGGTTCTGCTATCGCAAAATCCACAAAGCCACTGACTCTCCCAGCTGTCAGCCTTGAGGCTTTCTTCGCCCAACTCCCTCCAGTCGCTTTTGGGGCTCTGCACCAGTTACGCGCTGTTCTTTTTCAAAGGGTGAGGGGCTGAGCACCTCCCAACATCATAAGCGGCCTGTCACTCTGTCTGTCTGTGCAATCTTGATTGGCGGGCAAGACAGGGTCGTCTGTCCCCGCCCCCGCTTCCCTTAGCCGCGCTCGCCGTCTCTAGTTTTTCCCCAAGGTGGAGAGAGGGATTCCTGCAGGCGGCGCTTTGAGCAGGTGGAGAAGCATCCTTGTTTTGACTGTTGCTGCTGTTCTTCCTGCAATAGTGGATCTGAGCCAGGAAAGGAGGAGCCGTCTTCCTTTGATGGTAGCGCTTCAGTATACTGTTGCCCAGAACCTAGGCACTGCAGACACTTCGTCTCCCTCCTGTGCATAGTTTCATTGTATAAGTCACCTGCGTGTTTGTAGCTCTGTGAATCTATCTTCTGCTATTGCTCCGAGAAGTGGTCGAACGGGAATTTCAAGTGTTTGAACCAGAGGTGCAGGACCGCAGGGAGCTGTCTGAGGTGCTGAAGCTACCCAGGCGTTTGTCTCCACCGGCACCACTCCGGTTAGATTGCACGTTCCCCTTTCTGTCTTTCTGATTCCCCATGCCTTGGATAAGACTATTTTCAGGATCGTAAATCTCTCTCCGTATCATGGCTCACGTGAGACATTTTCGGACACTAGTTTCGGGATTTTACTTCTGGGAAGCAGCATTGTTACTCAGGTGAGTCCGCTTGTATTAACAGCTGGAAAACTCAGATTACAACCACTTGTTATTGATGAAGCCAAAAAATATGCATCTCTATATTGACGTGCTTAGAGCATCTCTTAAATTGCATTGTTGTCTATGTAAAACTACCTAGCAGTCTATTATGATGTCTAACAACAGGTAATTTGCTGTGTTTTTACTGCTAGTGTGTTTTAGTGATGGGCATAATATGTTAATTGTATCTGATATTACTCTGGAAAAATATTTCAAAAGCTTAAATTTTTCATTCAAATTGGATGTATAGCTTTGCTTTTCTAAATGAATTGTGTGTTATGGGTGTTATCTTTTTGAAGATGTCACAAAACATTAGCAATTATAAATGGGACATGGCTAACTTTTTAAAAGGAAGAAATATAGAACAATAGCACTTAGTGATCAGAAAAACTCGGAACATTGTTGATAATCCAGGCATTAAGCTAAATGAGTATTCTTTTTAATGACCTAATTCAGTAATAAATGAAGGCAATATTATACACAAGCCAATAGATATGTTCTATGTCAAAAATATCACTTTGAGTAAAGTAATTTAAGAGATGTACTAAACTTTAAGTTGTTTGATGACATGTCATTTTCTTATTACGTTGCAGTCATATAAGATAGGCTTTCTTTTTTCCTTTAAATTAATTTAAAGAAGATAAGGGAACCTTGGCAAAATGATCACATAGTTTTAGTACTGTTCTTAAATAATGCATAAAAACAAGGTACTTCTCATAGGGACTTTTGAGCCACCATTATAAATTTTGTTTTACTGATACTATGTAATTACCATAAAATTTCTACTTTTCTGGTTCACAAGCTTTTCATTAGTGTTGAAGTCAAATATTTGGAGAGACTGAGATCTGTGTATATTGATTTCTATCTGAAATGTGTAAATATTCTTTTCTATTTTACTATGTTATTTTTTATCTTTGTGCTACCTTAAAACTGTATCATACAAAACCTACCTACAGAAACTCACATTATTTTGATATACCTGTAGCTAATTGAAAATAGCTGAGCAGCCTATTATGTTCCTCAAAGTACTGTTTTTTTCTATAAAGAGTTAAACCATTTGAATCAACGTATTTTAGTGAAAAATATTTTAATGTGATTTAGTACATTTTTTGTAACTTTGCAGTTGATAGAAATTTTATATCTACTGATCAAAACTAAGTTGTAGAGCTTTTACAATTATGAGGATTTCATGGGGATGAGTACAAATATAATATAAAAGAGACTGATCATTTTATTTTGTTTCCTAATATTGTCAGTAATATATATTTTTAGAAGAAGTAAGGTAAGTTTTTCTGATAGTTACTTATATTTAGGGAACTTAATAGTTAAGAAATAGTTAGTAGTTAAGAAATTTTGGTCAATGAGACCAAATTTATGGAATGAAAATTCAACATGACACATAATATTCTTCTCTAGATTCTCTTATTAATTCTAGGGTTTTATTGAAATTCTCAAAGCAATTTATTTCAAATTGATCAGTATATTAAATATATTAATTAAGTATATTAAATAATTTTAGTTGTGGTTTATGAGTAAACTAACAATGCAATCCCTTGAAAAAGGCTTGTTAGAAGTTCATACGATTCTTACATTCTTCATTAAACTTTTCTTTTTTCTTTTACAAATCAAATAATTTCTTTGCTATATACCAATCTTAAATGAGAAACTAGTTCATCACTCTTATGAAGAACTTCAATCTTATGTAAAAAACTAAATGTTTTCAATTTCTGTGATGACCTGTGAAGAGGATTTCCTATAGTAAAGAAAGGGAAGCTCCCTCTACTGGAAATGTTTTGTAAAATAAGTCTTTCTGGAAAGGATTCTTTGTTCTTTAAGTCAGTTGATGACTTATTGAGCAAAAAAAAAAAAAAAAAAAAAACTTGTAAAGGAAAAAAATAAAGACAAAATATTAATAATCACTATATATGCATATATTTTTAAATTTAATTTTTATATTTATTAGACATACAGAAATTGCACATATTTAGGGGCACTGTGTGATGTTTCAATACATGTATACATGGTCTATTGATAAAATCACAGTATTTAGTGTATCAAATACTTATCATTTCTTTGTGGTGAGGGAGATCTCTTCTAGTTATTGTGAAATACACACCACAGTATTGTTAACTATAGTCACTCTGCTGCACTGTTGAATACCATAACTTATTTTTATTACTTAACTGTAATTAAAAAAAAATCTTTCCAATACAGTGCAAAGGCAAGAACAATCATACATTACCAGTATTTATATCAAATAAGTTACCAATACAAACTGTTTTCATAGATTTTAAAGATTTTTCATCTTTTGAAAAGTGCCCAAATAAGTTTTTATATGACTGAAGTTTCACAAGGGAGCACACACTAGTGAAGTGAGTACAGATCAAAAAATAGAAGTGTGAGTGTCACAGAAACACACACTGGCTCTCTCTCGCACCATATCCTTTTCTAGGCATTATCTTGCCCAGAGATAATTATTCCTGGATTATACAATAAAAATGTTGTCCTTCTTTTCAACTTTATATTAATAATCTTTTTTAGTATCTTTATGAGCATTTTGTTTATATGATTTATCTATATTACTGCATGTATAAACAATTTATTCATTCACATTGATATGTTTTATTCCATTGCAAGAATATATAACAGTTAATTTACTGTAGTCTAGATGATTGATATTTGTGTATTTTCCAAGTTTTGAATATTTTTTGGTGAACACACATATGCCTTTATGGTATTGTGTATTCTGAGTCCAAGACTTACTCTAGGAGAGGAATAGCTGGATCATAATGTGGATCTGATTACATTTAGCTCCAGTGGATAATGCCAGTTTTGAAAGTAGTTGTATCTACCTGCCTATCAACAAAGTTTGAGAGATCCTGTAACTTACTAGTTTGAAATTTGATCAATTAAATTCCATTATAAAAATTTATAGCATTTCCTTTGATTACAATTGCAAGCCCACAGATGATATTTTGACTCTTTTATTTCTACATTTTAGTGAATGAGCTTTAATAAGGCAAAATAAGTAGAAACAAATATTTGTCACTATGATTTATTTATAAATATTTATTACCAAAATATGCCAGGTATGAGAAATGTAATTTTTAAAGGGAATTTTTAAAGAGGATAATTATTTAAATACATCAAGTGATAAAACTTCATAAACAGCATAATATATCTGAATTTACAAGTAGTTAAATTTTCAAACTTCCATGTTGTGTTTAGATATTGCCATCATAAAGCAATTCTCTGGTTTTTAGGTGTTAGTTCTCATACTAATAAAATAAAGACAAAACAGCAGCATTCATCCTTCTTTGAAATGTAGGTTAGTGAATGTGAAAAACTCATAAAACAAATTCCAAAAGCAGGGATACTAACAAAACTATTTAATTTAAATTGATTATTTTCAAAAAATATAGTTTAATTTTTCATATTTACAGTTTGATAAGAGAGCTCCTACTTGAATGAATTATGGCATAGCCTTACACAAACTGAATGTGTGAATTTTAGAGGTTCTTAATAATCAGAAACCAAATATCTTATTTTTTTTAAATTCTAGAAAATATTGAATTTCTTGGTTTTGCTATTGTTTGCTTTGGAGGATGACAGCAATCCTTTTTAATATTAGTATATTGATGAAAATGTGCTTTAAGGAATATACTTTTATTATTATAATGTGTTACATGTGGCTATAGGAGTTTAGTTTTTTTTAAACTATGCCGCACACAATATATAACTCCTCATTTTTTGTTTGAAAATAATCATAACTTATCCAGTGGATAGAAAAACAACAGCTCAAATCTGTAGTCAATGCCTCAACCAGATTGACATTGAAGATTCACAGAACAGCTTACAAAATATTTCCTCTTCTCTAAATGTTAATTTATTGAATTATAAAATTTCGTGCTGAGACAAGTTGATCAATAATTACATTTTCTATGTATGATATTCAGTAGTGCAACAAGAATTACTTGCCTAATTCTGTGCACAAATGTATGTGCTAAATAGAAATGAGATATGGATGATTGGAAACCACCACCTGTTCTGTTATAGAAATAAGAATCTAAACTATAATGCAAAGATCAAGTGATGAAATAAACACATTGAGAGTAATGTTTTAGGGAATGTGAACTATCAAGAAAGAGAAATATCAAGAAAGCTTGGTGCTTGTGTTGGACTTTGTAAGATACTTGTTCAATGGAAAGAAATTAGATACAGAGTATTCTATGCAACAGGAATAATATATGTAGATAATGCATGCTTGTGGGATGATAATCGTCAAAGTCACCTGAAAATATTACAGTTTATGGTTTAAAAATATATTCCTCTAGCCGGCGCCGCGGCTCACTAGGCTAATCCTCCGCCTTGCGGCGACGGCACACCGGGTTCTAGTCCCGGTCGGGGCGCCGGATTCTGTCCCGGTTGCCCCTCTTCCAGTCCAGCTCTCTGCTGTGGCCAGGGAGTGCAGTGGAGGATGGCGCAGGTGCTTGGGCCCTGCACCCCATGGGAGACCAGAATAAGTACCTGGCTCCTGCCATTGGATCAGCGCGGTGTGCTGGCCGCAGCGCGCCAGCCGCGGCGGCCATTGGAAGGTGAACCAATGGCCAAAGGAAGACCTTTCTCTCTGTCTCTCTCTCTCACTGTCCACTCTGCCTGTCAAAAAAAAAAATATTCCTCTAGCAATAATTATTTATTAGGTACAATAATAAGCTTGTGGAACTATAGAGGAATTACAGCATCATTTCAGAAATGCATATAGAGATAATTTATGTACAAATAATTTATAAGTGGATAGTCATCACTATAGAAAGCATTTTATAACTTCACTAAAAACAGCTCTTTATATCTCTTTCTTTCAGAGGTTGAGTTCACCAATCTTAATACGATTAGTACTAGTAATTAGGAATAGTAAGGACTTTGCAGATAAGAGGGAAATGATAATCAGCTTGATTTAGAAT